GAACATTGTGAAAATTGGCAAAATCTCAGATTTGAAACTTTGGATGAGACAAATAAAGAATGCAATATTAAAGCACAACTGTCTAAAGCATGGTACTTAACACCATTATAATCTGGATAGATCAGTGCATGTCTCTCTCTAACTGGAATTTTCAAATTTGAATGCTACATGACTATTCTATTCAGTGCATTCCAATTAGAAATGAGCTATTCAACCTGAAACTGGAATCAGGTGGATTCCAAAAACATTTGTGATTTGTTTCATCTTCCATGTTTTACTGGATGCTGAAGAATTTCTATGGTTAGAACATTAGAACACAATTCAATGCTATCGAGAGCTTCATATACAAAGGAAGAAGGAGAGGAGAGTCCAAACAATATTGTATAATTTTTTCTCTTAATAAAAAAATTCAACAACAAACACACTGAAATAACCTTGAAAAAGCTGCAAAAATTTAATAACAAAATAAAGTACTAAAACTCAAATTTAATAGCATCTTTTTATTTTATAAAATATTTGTCATTTGAAAAAAATATTTAATATGACAATTGTCAGATAATATAATAGCTGCTGTTTTATACATTAATTCCAATATTTACAACAAATATAAGAATCAGTTCATCTTAACAAATAAAAGATAAATCTGCTACAGAATTGTCTGAGAGACTAAAAATAAAATAATTCCTTCCATTTGTGTTCTAAATTTCTTATCTTCCATGATTTCAATTTAGTATTTATCAAAGATCATATGTATGTTAATAATCAAGGTTATTACAACCATTCTCTCAATTCTTTACTTCTTTTATCATTTTTGACAGTGTAATAATTTTTTCACAATTACTCATATTAACTTATTTATGATCATATCTTTCTTAAATCAACTTTCTTGTTAACTTTTTATATTTATTACTTTTCTACAAAGTTTTTATATTTTCATATTATTTATTTTATTATTTTCTTTGTTTTATACATAAAAAAATATTAAATAAAGCATATTTATAAAATTAAAATTATTATTATATTAAAACAAATTTATTTTATTATACAGTATTTTGGCATGATAGTCATTCTATTGATCACAAATTTATTTTTCTAAATTGACATAAAATATATTAAAAATATTTAAACTTTACATTTATTCATTCTTACTAAATATATATTTAGAACTATAAGAAATTATTGTTTTCAGATTACACAGGTCTGCAAAAAAAATTTTTTTCCAGCTACATGGAATATTTTTGCTGAATTATATGCTTTAAAGATTGGAGATTCTAAAAATGACTTCCGTAACATCCCATCACATATAGATTTTTTATAAAATAAAAACAAATATTTGATAAAAACTCTTATTTTAGGTCTACTCTTATTTCACAATTTTAGGTCTACTCTTTTTTCTCATGACACCTTTTCTTCTTCTCTTTGATGCTTCTCCGAACTCGTTTCCAATTTCCTTCTCTGGTTTCTCGACTGAGCATCCAACAGTAGTCAGCTAATATATTGACATCCCATTTTCCTTGGTAACGTCTCTCAATATCACGGACATCCTGCTGAAATCTTTCACCCTGTTCTTCACTGTAGGTTCCCAAGTTTTCAGGAAAATAGTCAATATGGGAGTGTAAGAAATGAACTTTTAAGCTCATCTTGCATCCTTGAGCTTCATACGCTGCTAGCATGTGTTGTACAATGGTTTTATAGTCAGAGTCCTTCGTATTCTTCAAAAACTTATGCATTACATTCTTGAAAGAGTCCCATACTTCCTTTTCTCCCTTTGTTTCCAAAAAGAGGGGATCAGATAAAGGGGATGTTGACTTTTCACTGTGTATTAACCACAAACACAACAGAAGCTATCGGGAGAAATTACACAACCTCTGCGAGCCATATTCCAGAAATAAAAATACAAGCACAGTAGCGTTTGAATGCTGGATATAAACTGAGTGTGGCATTAGATGGTCAGCAAGATACTGAACTGATTTAGCTTGTCAAAACATGCTCAACCTCACCAGTAATATTACTCACTATCAACTTTTTACCTGTTTCTACATGATCATGCGACCTTCCTCCTAACGCTAAAACTACTTAACCCACCTCCCCCTACCAATACTCTCTTCAACTATTAACATTTTTTAAAATTTATTGCCATGTCCAGCTATAATTGATAGAATTAATGTGAGAAGTCTTTATTTTAAGGCCATTTTTTAAATAAAAAAAATTTTAAGTTAATTTGGAATTTTACGCTAAATACAAACAAAAACTTAAGTGTAACAGAAAAAAATTGACGAGATGGAATTTTTTGATATTTTTTTTCGTTTTTACCAAGTTGAAATCTATAAGAAAATGTATAAAAATCCTATGCAGTTTTTTACTTGCAGACCTGTGTTATCAGTTAAATTACAATACTTCAGATAAATTTTTCTCATCATTTTTCATTGCGACCTGTAAACTTCATATGATATTATCCTTTTCGAAACCAGACAATTTTTTATTTATTTTAAAAATTTCACTTACAAAAAAAAAACTAATCTTAAAAATTATTAATATAATATTGATACTTTTCAATCATTCTAAGTTTAGAAAAATATTTAGATATTATTTTTTGGAATAAAAGTAATTTGTTTTATAAAATGTCATTTGACAAACAGAAATATGGTACAAATAAAAACATCCATTAACCAGATTTTTGATTATGACCAAACAAATTTAATTATTAAATAATAGCCATATTATACCCCAATATAATCTGGCAGATCATTTGGCCTTAGAAATATGGTAATTGTCTGATAAAAAAAAAATGGCTTTAAACAAAGTAAACAAGCAACTTAATATATTATTTTGACTTTAAAGTGCTCAAGAATATTACTGGATGCTGAAGAATTGCTATGGTTAGAACATTAGAACACAATTCAATGCTATCGAGAGCTTCATATACAAAGGAAGAAGGAGAGGAGAGTCCAAACAATATTGTATAATTTTTTCTCTTAATAAAAAAATTCAACAACAAACACACTGAAATAACCTTGAAAAAGCTGCAAAAATTTAATAACAAAATAAAGTACTAAAACTCAAATTTAATAGCATCTTTTTATTTTATAAAATATTTGTCATTTGAAAAAAATATTTAATATGACAATTGTCAGATAATATAATAGCTGCTGTTTTATACATTAATTCCAATATTTACAACAAATATAAGAATCAGTTCATCTTAACAAATAAAAGATAAATCTGCTACAGAATTGTCTGAGAGACTAAAAATAAAATAATTCCTTCCATTTGTGTTCTAAATTTCTTATCTTCCATGATTTCAATTTAGTATTTATCAAAGATCATATGTATGTTAATAATCAAGGTTATTACAACCATTCTCTCAATTCTTTACTTCTTTTATCATTTTTGACAGTGTAATAATTTTTTCACAATTACTCATATTAACTTATTTATGATCATATCTTTCTTAAATCAACTTTCTTGTTAACTTTTTATATTTATTACTTTTCTACAAAGTTTTTATATTTTCATATTATTTATTTTATTATTTTCTTTGTTTTATACATAAAAAAATATTAAATAAAGCATATTTATAAAATTAAAATTATTATTATATTAAAACAAATTTATTTTATTATACAGTATTTTGGCATGATAGTCATTCTATTGATCACAAATTTATTTTNTTGAGTAATGAAATTGAAAACTAGCTAGCATTCATTGGAGAATGAAACAGTAGTATGGGAATACTTGTTTATCACTACAACCAAGTGTAAATAGTACAGGAAATTTAAAAGTGGTGTGTGAAGTGTGACTGATGCAGCTTACACTGATCAGCATCAGACTGTGACCTCACACGATATTGTTGCTAGTATCTATTAATCAATGTACAATATTGTCATGTGCTGCAATATAAAAAAGTCTCTGCGAGATAGCTTACTCCAGAAATCAATGTAATATGGATGTTTGTATAACATTAGTGCAACGATATGAAGCCAACGAAGTTGTCTTTCTGCAATGCCTAGTTACTGGTGACAAATCATGGGTTCATTACTTTCAGCCAGAGACTAAGCAAGCAAGGAGTGGTGAATTCCATATTGAAACAAAAAAAATTTTGCATGATTCCTTTGGCCAGCAAGGTAATGCTTACACTTTTTTGGGATCATAACGTTTCAATTATGGAACATTATATACCCAGAGGATTATCAGTGAAAAGTGCAGCAAATTGTAACTTGCTTCAAAATCATTTGAAACTCACAACAGAGCCCAAACATCATGGCTTGTTCAGTTCTGATATACTGTCACAGCATGACATCACATAGCCATATCTTGGATGACACTGTACTGAGTGATTATCATATCTTTGGAATATCAAAATAGCTCTTGGTAGAAAAAAATTCAGTAAAAATTTCAACAGAGGTGAAAACTGAAGTGCATGAGTGGCTGTGCAATTAACCAAATCATTTTTTCTTGTGGAATCCAAGCACTACTGAAGCACTGGCACACAGTAATGAACATGGTGTGGATTAGATTGAAAAGTAATAAAGTGTTTTCATTCATATGTATATACTGGGTGTTTGAAAAATAACACACTATTGGAGTGTCTGATAAAGTAAGAATGCAATATGCATGTTCTGTTGGTCATTATGTTATTATGCAGAATTATGTGAAAATTTAACATAAAATGTAGGAACATTTGTACCACATATGTACAATACTGACTGAGCAATAACTACCAGGTTGTTTTAATTTAGTAACATTTTATCAGAAATAAAATTACGTGTGTTTGGTAAAGCAATACTAAGTTAGGCCTATATGATTTAGTATGATTAGTTCTAACATTAAAAAAATAACAAAATTTCAAATTTTATTAACAGCAAAAGAAAAAAAACAATTTAAAAATTACAAGTTAATTTCATTCTTTTTAATAGTCCAATATTCTAAACAATATAAAGAAAACACAATTACATAAAATTTCTATTTATACTCTGTAATTTTGAAATTACAATAAATTAAATAGAAACTTTTATAGTGGAAAGAAATATTACCTTGCACAGGTAGTTACTAATAAAGAATTCTTGTAACTCAAAAGATAGCTTTGGTTTTCTGAATTTCCATAAGTCACCTATAAAAAACATAAATAAAATTATGATTTTTGTAAATCATCAAAATCATTTTATGAATTAACTTTCTCATATATAGATAAAATTACAAAAAATATTTAATTTTGCTAAGATTATTTTAAATAAATAACCTAATTGGTAGGTATGTTCCATGAAATGAACAAATATATAATATCAATACTAATTTATAAGATATAAGATCTCATTAATTAAATATAGCCCAATACAATTCAGCAATTGTTTGCCTTTAATATATAATTATTCGGTTTGGATATTTATATTTGTATATAGTAAAAGTATTTAACTAGTCACACATTTTTTCATATTAATCTTATTAACAGTTGTCATTTCAAGTACAATTTGTTTTAAAACTCAACATTTTCATAATTAAATACTCATATTTAAATACATTATTAATAATGGATATCAAATGACTATGTGCAAAGGAAATAACCTCAGAGAAAATACATAGTTTAAAATAATAGTCATAACAATTATTTGAATAAATCTGGTACATGACATTATGAAATTATTTTCTACTAAGAAAGATTTTAAAAATCTAATAATAATTCTTATATTTATAAAAATAATTCATAAAAATTTTTCAATCAATATTTTTAAAAATATAAAAATACAGACACCCCTTGCTATACATCAGTAATCCATTTCTGAAATCAAAGTTTTGTATAAAAATCTTAACCAAGTGCCTATTTCCCATTATTTTAAATGGAAAAAATTACATTTTGTTACAATGTCAAATTAAAATCTCTAACCTAAAATATAACTAAAACAGAGTAAACATTTATATATAAGTAACAAACTGTCATATTACAATATAAAGTACTTAAAGCATTGCATCATGATTACCAAACAATACAATTGGTAATAAACTGCTGCTTTATTTGCAGCAGCATATATAGAATGCAAGCCATCTTAAGTACAGTGGGTGATCAGTTAACGAACAAATTGGATAACGAACACTTTCGCAAAAGATTTTTATGATCAGACAACAAACACATGTTCAGATAAGGAACACTTCACTGAACAAACACAAGAAGAAGCAACGTAAAATAACAAATACCAATTGGTCTTCCTTTGTCTTCAGGCAACAATTCAAAACTTTTCAGAGTGCAGGAGACGGCAACATCGACATTCTACCCAGTATATACTGATCGGATAGTATTTCCCCAAACTTTGAAACTTTCCCTTGTAATTCCAGCCTTTTATATTTCTGACAGAAACAATTCTTTTACGTTTTCTTCTGAAAATGCGGATTTATGCTGATATTTGCTATTAAAGATCTTTTGAAGAAGTGGGAGGATGTCAGAACAACGGTCTTAAAATGACATCTAAACCAGGATGAGGTTAATAGGCATAGGGATCTCTACAATTACAATGCTATTAATTACTTCTAAAAAATCATGAAGAAGACAGAAAAGCAATCGACATTGGACAGATTCTTTAACCCCCACAAACGGAAAAAACATGACTAATAAAAATGCAAGATCGTGTACTGTATATATGTATTTTTATTATTACATATGAATAAATGTAGTAAGAAAGTATATATTTTTTATTTTTTGGGGTCTCCAGAACAAATTAATCAAATTCCCATAGAAACCTATGGTAAATCGATAATCGGTTAACGAACAATTCGGATAGCAAATAAAGTCTTGGAACGGATTATGTTCGTTAACTGATCACCCACTGTATTACTTTTACAATATGACAGTAAAACAGACAACAATAAAAAAATCAGTTAGAAAAAAGTAGGCAAATATTTACAAAAACAAGACAGTTTCTTGTAATGAACTGTTATTCACCAAGTAAGATAGAGAACCGAAGATTCAAGAAAGTTAAGACACTTTTCAAAACATCTATACATGATTCTAATAATTAAGTGATAAAGCCAACAACTTGGCTAGTTAATTAGCAAAGTTCTAATCTGACAGTTAATTTGACCTTATCATTTGATTGACATTCTACAAATTGTATTTGGAATGTAAATTAATACATTTTAAATAAAGCAATGTATAGAAAAATTCTAGAGTTTTTAGGATGTAATTATAGATTTTCTTTATATAAACATTGAATAAAATACAGATTTAAATGTAAATCCTATAAAGTTTGAATAATAAAAACTAGGAGATATTTTATCAGGAAAATTTAAATTGGATGATATTCTGCAGGTATGTCTGTAGTTTTAATTTTTATTTTTCTAAAAAAAATTTTTCCAATACTTACATTCTCAAGAACTCTTAAACTCCTATCTATTTTACGCAATTTGTCAAGATGAATATCAGATGGATAGCTTATACATTTCAGTTCATTACAGTTTAGATGATTTGCACAGGCACTTGCTGAAATTATTAATGTTTATTAATTATACATTTAATAATGATTAAATTAATTGTTGAAATAAAGATAAAAACAATAATAAACATTTTCTATAATTTATATAGACTGTTTCAAATAATTTGATTCAATTTTACCACTTTTCATACTTGATGTTATAATTTCCAATAAAAATCTATTAATATTCCTTTTTAATGAACTTTCAATGAACCAAACCAAAATTTTATTTGAATGATTCTACATCAATATTTTTCTAAATATACTGTAACATACCTATGTCTACAAGAAGATCCATACCACCTAGACTTCTAAGTTCTTCTTTAAACCATTCACCAGCTCTTCTAGAACTTAAAGTTAACAGTGTTTCCAAAGCCAAATTACCCGTCTGGAAAATAAATACAAACATTCTGAAATGCTAATATTGTATTTTAAATGATAACATTTTAAAATACTATTGAACTCAAAATCATTCATATCACTCTCAAAAAAATTATCTGATTTTTTAAATTTACCAAGAATCAGATAATTTTACTGATAAAAATTTCTCTCTACATAACATGAGTTGTTGATTATATTATGTCTGGAATTCTTCTGCTAAATTAGAAGCATTCAATCTATTTCAAATAATTCTGACTTTTTGCACTTGAATAATTTTTACACATTGCTTATTCATTTCCACAGTATCTTTCAGTATAATATAAATCTTAAGTAATTATAAATTTCCAAAATCAAATAATTTTAAGGAACAGATTTATAATCATGTTATCTTCTAATTAAATTCCACATAGACTAATAATATAAAAATGTTATGTCTCTTACGTGGTTTCTAAGAAAGACTATGACCATTAAAACAACAGATATAAAAGAGGTGTAACATTTCTATATGTTATTAGTCTATATGGAATTTAACTAGAAAATATAATAACCTTAAATAATTAGCATTTGTAGATTAAATTAAAATTAACAAAATTAATTTTTGGTAAAAAAATTTTTATAACTATTTTGTTATTTACTATAATTAAACCAAACAAATGCAATTTTAAATTTTTATTAATTATTTTAAGAAAGCAATAATGGTTGAAAATATGACATTTATTAAATAAAAATATTTTTTTTTAAAATAAGGCTGAAATGGTGTTATTGTAAATAAAAGATGTTATATCTACTAGTAAGAAAATCAACACCTACATAATTTTCCAATATGAAGAGTTTGTATAACAAATGTTTTATGTTGGTTCATTTTATAAACCTGCTTCAGGTTTGAAATTATACCATTTGAAATTCAGTAATGCAGTAATGAAATAATGACAATTCTGTATTTCATTACTGCAATAAATCAACTTAATAATAACACAAATTTTTATTTCTAATTTAATTTTAGTTATCTAATTAAAGCACAAATTAATCAGTTGACCTAATATTCAAAAAAGTTATTACTTCAACTGAATCCAAAATGCTATTTCTATTTCATTATTGTTTATTTGATAGATGCAAAATATAAATTATACATGTATGAATAACTATAAATGCCATAAAGTACTGCCAAATTATCCATGTCTATATAAAGGTCCCATTCAAAAAGTCAGGTAAAATGTTATTAAATACACAATTATAACTGTTACCAGTGAGACATAACACAGACATCAGACTGTTACAGTTCTCTATATTTTTGAAACTTCAAAAATATAGTTTCCAAAATTAAAATTTTGCTACATGATTCTAGAATATTTATTACATACTGGTGAAGATATATTTACATTTAACAAAAATCTATAGTGTAATTTAAGTTATAAACCAAATTTCAATTTTTAGAACAAAAATCTTACATTTAAGTTATCTAAGCTGAGATGTTTTGCATGTCCTCGTTGTTGTATTTGCTCAACCAACTGTCTTACTTTTTCTCTGTGTTTTTCTTGTAAAGCAGATGGTAAACTTCCATCAATATTATCATTGGCATTAGACAATTTAACTTCATTCCAGTTTAATGAATGGTCTTGTTGTGGGTCTGATTTTAAGAGCTGAAGCATTAAAGACAGAGTACTTGCTTCTAAGTCCATTGTTAATTTATCTTCACTAAGAACAAACATCAATGTAGCTGTGCACAATGATAAACTCTAGAAAATTAAAATAAATATAACAGTTATAAAGAATATAAAGTTACTTATTCTTATCAAATAATTTTAACTTACAGTATTTGAAGGAGCATCTTTTAAGGCACTGAATATTTTGGAAATTGTTCCATGGGCACGTAAGTGAATTCGGAAGGCTGACCCCATGCACTTTGATGCAAGACTTAATATACTGAAATAAATAAATCAAAACACTAAAAAAAATGCACAATAGCATAAGCAAGTAAAGTAAAAAAGTAAGTATATGTGAATATGTAATATATATTATATACGAATAAAATGTATTTTAATACAAAGAACAATTAAAAAGTCCACATTGATGAAAAAGTTCCACAAAGACCAAAGTATACACCTCACAACAGACCTTTACTTGAAGGCTACTGCTGGAGTCAGAGTTTTTACCCTCCCTACAGTTGACTTCAACTGAAACTGCCGATAATAATTTACATAATAGTAAAATTATAAAAGTATTAAAATTCCTGTAAAAGAATTTCATGATACATGCACTAATATGACCAATATCTTAACAAGATTATGCATATGATGCACAAATATAAATAAATGTTTCATTTACTTTCAGCACTGGAGAAAGATCATATTTTCAGGTCAGGGGAGTTGGTATTAGAGTCAGAATTGATGATGGCAGGAGTCATCAGTGTAGGAGAAGTTGGTATTGATATTGGCAAATTTTTTTGCTCATTCTGAGTCAACCAACTTGAGTCTATATTTCACAATTATTTTACTTTCCTAACTGTTATAGAATATAACATAGGAAAAGTGTAATGATTGATCAAATTTTGATTCCTGGATTTTTGCATTTTTTGATGTTTTGACACTCCATATGCCCAAAAATGTAGAATAATTAAAAAAATCTTTAATAAAAAAAATGTCCGAAAAACCTTTGTATCTCCAGTTGTAGTTTTTCAATTAGTGTTACTAGATTGAGTGTTATTAGAGTGAGGTTGCAAGTGGTTAATGTAAAACAGCTTAGCAAGCTTGTGTATTAAGTTTTTTCTATATCTGTGCTGTATGGCTATTGACACTAACAATGATTATCTAGTGGCCAATTACAACTATGCATTACAAAGTATTTACAGACAAATAGCAAAAAAGAAAAAAGCAACATTAGCATATAATATAAATGCCTGCCTACTATTTACAAAATATTGCACAATGAGAAAGGCAAAGAGAACATATGCAGAGCTCCAGGAAAGTACTGATGATAGACAATAGATACCTCGAATACATCAGCACTACTACACTCACTTCATAAATGTTTACAGGAACACAGATATGACATTAAGCAAGAACAGCTAACCACCTTCCTTGTCAAATTTGCCTCCGAACAGAATGTGAAAGTAGACTTCGACAACACACGTATTATTACAGTAAAGCATCAATTATCCAAAACAATTCGGGACTGGGGTTGTTTGGATAATTGGTTTTTCGGATAATCAATTATGTACAAAAAAATATATTAACCTATCCCATGTTGAAATTTGTTCAAATCCTGGCGTGTCCTTAATATCCTCTCATGGTTGCACCAGTGCTGCCAGCTAAAACACACACACCAACAAAAATAATATTGGAGTAGCCCAAGACATAGCCAAATATTGCAGCGCCACAGCGGAAATTTAAATTTGCCGACTGGAACGCTTTCAGTTAACCGATGTTCTACTGTATCAAACAATGCCACAACATAGAACATATCCAAACCTTCAAGGCAGTGAAAATTCATAATTCAGTAATAAAAACAAATAACATCAACTTTAAAGAAGAACAGCCTCTACCTACAGCATGGCAATATTTATGTGAAAAACAATTACCCCCACCAAGTGATGATAAACATGGATAAAACACTGTGCATTATATTTAATTTAAATAATATTTTAATTTTCATCATTTTAAAAAAATGTTGCTGATATTTTGTTTTTATTTTTATTCTATTCTATTTTATATCTATTTACATTATATATTTGTTTACTGGTTGTTCCAATTTTTTAAACTAGTATGTTCTATTTCACATTTTAATTTGATTGTGTATTCAGACCTGAAAAAAATCTGTTTAATTAAGATCAAAAAATGTTAGTCACTAATTAAAAAACTACAACTGGAGATACAAAGGTTTTGTGAATATTTTTTATTACAATCAGACCCAGTTCATTTGTACTGTTATAAAATTTAAAAAATATTTACAAAATTTTTCATGTGTCTATTTTGCATTATATATCAGGACTGAATGAACCTAAAATTTAAACTATAATGAATAATACACAAACTTGTCCCAATTTTCAACATTTTGATTTCAAGAACAAGATATTCTTGTAAATCAGGACCATGCCGTACAATTAAAACTTTAATAAATTTTAACCTAATGTTTTGACAATTTTGCATTTTTATTATCCAGGCTTTGTTTTATTTCTCATTTTAACCTATACTGTTAGTAGTATTAAAAGAAAATTTTATTTTGCATTAATTTCACATATTCTTAATAGAGTTTAAATACCAGTTAGGAGACTGGAATAATACAGCAATAAACATGTCTATCAAAGAGCCTTAACTGAATTCCAGTGAGATTTAATTCTAAATGAAACTTTTGGACTAAGATCTCCATTTGTAAATTGAAAACATTAGTTCAAAAGTTTTATTTCAAATTAAATCTTGCTGAAATTCAATTAAAGACCTTTTATAAATGTGTTTATTTTTATTCTTATTTTATAAATTCTCCAATTACTTATACAGAGTGTCAAATAAGTCACTAACAACTTTGATTGAGGACAACTTTTTGACCACCTGTCTGAGAGCACTGATGTCTTGCAGCTGCTATTTTGTAAACAAAGGTAATTGTTTAGTGCTGATGTGCCAATTTTTAGAAAAATTTAAACACGAGCAAATATTCAGTGGATGAACACATTATTTTGGTTAAACATTGGTACAAACGTGATGAAAACTCTACAGTGCTACTGTGGACATAGTTGACAACTTTCAAAAACACGCCAAAGCCAACGAGAGGTGCAGTTACCAATTTAATCAAGAAATTTGAAAAAACAGGCAGTGTAAAGGATGATGATGAGGCCAGGACTAGTGATTGCCAATTTACTGGATATTACATTACCAGTAATTCAGTAATTATATTTGGAATTACCAGTTTATTGGTAATTTATCAGTAAATTTGTATTAACAAATAATTTAAAATAAAACTGTATTACTGACAATCATTGAACAACCATTTATTTTCAAGTATTCTATCAGTTTAGACAAACAATATTCTTGTAATAGCAATTATTATGCTATAACAGACATTGCAATAATACTGATTATTAATTGAAAGTAGGCTCTTAAAAAACATAATACATTTAGGCTCTCATTGTCTAACCTAGATCTAATTTTTGTACATATAGCAGGTGCATTAGAAAAAACTCTCTCGGAATCAATAGTTGGACGTACTGTCATTAGAGCATTTAAAATCTTTTTAAGCTCTATGAAATAATTCATTTCTTTCTTAACTATATCTTTCACACTTTTAAATTTACTTATATTACTGTTATCAGTGTCTATGCTCATTCCAACTTCTCTTTCATTGTTAAATTTGCCTTTTCTATGTGAACAAAGAGTATAACTTTGTTCTCCTGTCGACGTGAGAAGTTGATGGTGTTGTAAGCAATGAATACCTCTCATCAGAATCTGAGTCTGAACTAATTTCAGTGATATCCTCAAGTCCTGATTCATTTTCATTTTCTGATAAGTGCTTTATTATCCCTACAATTCCATTCAAAATTGTATTTTCCTTAACATTATTGGATATTTTGTGAGACTTATATTTGTTCAATTCTTCTGGGTTACATAGATGTAGATACATTAAAATATCAGAGTAAATAGTTCATCTCTCTTTTACATGAAAAATAATTTCTTTTTTTAGTTTGTTATGCAGAAAGAAATCCCGCTTTGATAGTTCTTCTATCAGATCTTCAATGTACAAATTTGTGTTTTTGCAACACAAGGATTCGAACTGCTACTTTAATATAATACAATCATTACAACCTATAGGACATCAATTCAAGTTCATCTTCAGAAAAGGTTATATCTGAACAAATATCAATTAGATTTTCAGTCATATTTTGGATCATGGGTGATTACTAAAGGGTTACCAGAAAGCAGCAGAGGAGGAATTTCATGGCCACTTTATTCCCCGGACCTCAATCCAATGGATATTTTTTTCTAGAGCTATCTCAATAATATTCTCAGCAAGTTTTATGTCAATGCAACAAATTCCTGATTTTTATCCTTAATCAAAGTTGTTAGTGACTTATTTGACACCCTGTAATGTATTACCGATATTTTCAAAAATAATTCTTATACTTAGCAAGAGACAACTTACATATAAAACAAATCACTGATAATTTTTTTGACATTATTAAAAAAAATTATTTAGGGTAGATTTGAAATTTAGTCTTTAATTAATAAAATGAAAGAATAATTAATAAATATTAACAGACCTTAAGCATCTGGTCCCAACATTAGCAATCTGTAAGCCTTCCAATAAATATTCTACATCATCATTAAACTCTTGTGTTTCTCCAGATTCATGACACTGATAAGCTTGCTTCACATTTTTCACAACTGTATACAACTAAAAAATTTATTTAATTAAATTTAATTGAAGATAAGGTTATATTAAAAATATAATATATATAATCCAAGTATTCAGTTAAAATAACTACAGAATAATTCTTTGGAAGTTTAGAGAATAATATGTAATTTTTTGATCCAGATGAATTTTCTAAGATATCTTTCAGGGTTCCAACAAAAGTTTCTTTTATATGTAGATGGCTAGATTATATTATAAATAAGTAATAAACTATGTAAATTTAAACTTGAATATATTTTTATTTTTTAAGGAGAATAGTGTGATGCTAGGAAATAATCTGAGATTATTTTCAGATTAAGCATTTTTTTTTTGAAATTACACATCCCATCATCAGATCTTAAAGAACTGGAACAAAACCGTCAAGACATTAAGAGGCATACTAAAGTCTTTGAGCATTATGAATTATTCTTTGGAATTTTGAATAACTTGTTTGAATGTGTAATGGACTATAATAAACATCAGACAGAATGGAAATAATTTGTTATTCAACACAATAAAATTGTAATTTTGTATGTCTACAGCATTGTACTATTTTTCTTACTTCTAATGGAATCATGAAATCTGCTTAAATGCCCACTCTCTTTTTAAATCTGAATATTTCATTAAAATTTCTGCCTGTCTTAAGTAATGCAGAAAATTTTAGACAAATTTAATTATTTGAACAATAAAAATATAGTATCCTGTCTACGTATCACAACTGCAAATATTAAAAACATGATGTTACCTAAAAATATTTCTCCAAACATCACTGAAATATTGCAAAATGTAATTAAAATGCTATAAAAAGAGCCCAACTTGGTATTAATGCTCAAGGTGCACATTTGTCAGATATTATATTCCATATATACAAAAATACAAAAAAACTTAAAGGGTTAAAATAAAGCATAATTTTTTTTAAATTAATTTTCTTCTTTAATTTTGCACCAGCTTGTATTCTAGCTAATAAATATTACTTTTTAAATACTTAAAATTTGAATTTCTGGTAATTTATACAATGTAATAAAGGAATCAATGTTATTTGAGAATTATTATATCAATAAATTTTTGATAAAACATGCAAATAATAATAAATATTTTAATTTCTTAAATATAGTGACTTTTTCATTAATTCACTAAGCAGTATAAAACAATTTTTTGATATTTAATTATCAAGTTCATATTTCACTGTCAAAGACAGAAAGATGTGATCACATTTAAACACTATAAGTATTTTTAATATTTTACTTTATTTCATTAAGTATTACTTGCTATCAAATGTAATAATTTTTTTCATATATTAATTTAAAAAAATATACTAATTATTATTTAAACTTCAACTTATTACATATAATATGATAAATTACAAATGTTTTCATTGCAAAATGTAGTCTCATATGATCTACAACAAACTCAAAATTTATTTACAAAAGAATATATTTTACTCTTATTAAAAGACAATTCAATTAAAATTCTACATTAATAATTAAAATATATATTATTCTTTAAAGTTCAAACATATTTTTTTTTATTAAACATAATAAAAATACCCTAATCATAATTAATAATCAATGAACATACTAATCATCAAAAAGAAAGTTAGGCTTAGGTAGAAACTGAAAGATGCATGTTATTATGTGATAACATTGGTAATTTGATGTATCAATTCTTTACTAAATGACCTACCTATTTAATGACCACTCAGACTTATGACCAGCTCTCAAGTGTAGGGAATCTCATTTTGTGGTCTTAGTCTTGTTCCCATAGTCAATCAGTATTTACTATAGTATTTACATTTGCAATCTCTAAGACTACATATTTCATTTATAAATTTGTATTTTATTATTCACCCCTTAGTATAGGACATAGCAAAAAGAAAGAGCATGACTTCATCTTGAAGCACAAAGAATCAAAGGAATGGCAACAAAATTGGAAGTGTAGCAGCACTTGAAAGAGGAAAAAAATAGAATTATAAAAGTTTACTGTAAAGCCCTACAAGAGCTTCCATTTCTTTGCAGTCATCTCCCTTACCTTCTTCAGCTCTTAACAACCCTGTTGATAACTGTGATGATTTCTGGAATCTTTACCACCTTCTGAAGGATTCAATGATTAAAATATTTATCTGAATGGCAAGTTTAAATAAATAAACTTCAATGTTTTTGGTACAACACAAATAATTTTTGCCAATAGTATTTTTCTGCATTATGTAAGAGATGAAAATTGAAACAAAGTTTTCAAGTTGGAGATTCCTTTACACCATTTCTTTATCAAAAATAAATTAAATAATTATTGTTTATTAACCAGTTCACTTAACAACTTAGTTGTAGAAATAAAGATGTCAGTCATTAAGTGAGGAGTGCTTGTAGTATACAATAAAAAGCATTTGAAACAGGAAAATTTTATTAATATGCCAAGAATATGAAAGTTTACATTTAAAAATTGATAAAAATGTAATAAGTCAAACTGGAGATTTTTCTTAAAAATATTAAAATGTCATTTAAAAAATATTTTTAAAAGCATTTTTATGTTTTAATGAAACTCTTTATATCAATTTATTTTAGAAGTGATAATATGTCTTTAGATAAAAAAAAAAAAATTGTTTTTCTTAATTATATTCAATTTCAGGATTTGGATAAATCCTGAAATTTATTATTTGTTGAAAAATGTCAACTATTCAGAAAATCTTTCAGATGAAATCATTAGTAACAGAATCCATAGTGGTATTAATAAAGTACTGCTTTTCAAATCTCAAAGTTTTACAATGATACAATGCATAGAATTATACTTTACTGAACATTTTTTGGCCTATGTTCTTTAACTGAATTGTTTTTCCGTCTGCTGCAATAATCTCTCATTTCCTGCTTTTTTTTACATAAATAAACCTTTTCATTAACAATTCATTTGTTGGATCATTATCTCTGCTTAGATCATCATTACAAAAGCATAAAGGATGCCAATTTGCAATATATTAAGGCACAAAAATAATTCAATAGGAGTAAAACTCTATAATTCAAATTAGAGAAAGTGAAATTATAGATTAGAGATCAATTATAGATTGAGAGTTTTACTCTCAATTATACTCTATATAACAGGGGTGGCCAACCTGCGGCTCTTTGAAGGATTATTTGTGGCTCTCGATAAATGTACCCGAGTTCCCTTTTCATTTTTGTGTTATTATATTTAAAAAAATTATTATTGTTCCGTATGTGTTTCAAAATGTCTTTTAAATTACTAACAACAAATATGAAAGACTAAGTGCAACGTTGTAACAAATTTCATTTCCGTCCAAGTTAAGAATGATATGACTCATCGAAAACTGCGCGAACGAACATAAACAGTGGCGTAATCGTCCGTTATCAACCGACTCCAGACCGATTTTGAATTTGTAAACTGTCATTGTGCTCTGGAAGAAACAATTTGTATCACTCTTGCTATGGATATAATTTGTAATCTGGAATTTTTTGCATACCTTTTTAATACGTATTTAATTGCGGCTCGCGAAAAATTTCAAATTTTGAAAAATGGCTCGGACTATCAAGGAGCTTGGCCACCCTGGCTATATAAGTATAAACACATTCAATGATAATGCATTACATTTTTCAGGTATAAATAGAAAAAGGAATAAAATAAATATATTTTTTGAATTAAAATCTTATTATCCTAGAATGTAAGAAATTTATAGTTTGAAATTTGGGAACTATGTAAGTATTTACATTTTAGAAGCAAATCAAACTATAATTTGATCCCTATTCACTTTGTCTTATTAAATAGTCAATATTAAAAGGAATGTCATAAAGTTTCCATAGCTAAAACATATACAATATATTGCATATGCAATAATGTCTTCCTTTTTCTGTTTTTACTTGAAAAAAATTGGTTATGTATTATCATTGAAAACATTCATAATTATATATATATATAACCTTTAAACACATCCTTTATCCTCGTTCAACCCCAAAAAGTTTTTTTACTCCTATCAGATATCAATTACTGAATAGCTCTCTACTGTGTTGTGTGGTTTAAATTTGGAAACAATTATTCTTTTTTTCAAACTTAGCTCAGACCACAAATTATGTTTGACATGTATTATGTTGTGTTTTTTGTATGGATGGCACAAACCTTAGCTACTGATTAAGAAAAAAGTGAGTACTGAAATATACTAATAAAATTATTTTAAGATACAGTATAAAAAAAATACAATTACTTTTGAGATACAAAAGAACACTTATATTTCAAAAGTAATTGTACCTGTACTTTTTATACTTTTCATAGTCTCTTCTTATACCTTATATTTTATTTTTAATAAAATGATTACAGATTTTAGAAGTTCAGATTATTTACATAATAAAATACAATTATAAGTTTATGAAATAATGATAGATTTATAATATTCAACAATATATAGTTAAGTAAATACTGTAATTATTACCTCCTTCACTTTTTTTGGACACTTGACTGAAACAACTGCTTCAGATGAACAACTTTTAGGAATCTGAACAACTTTTGATATTGAACATTGAGATACTTCTGAATTCTCAATTTCATCAAAATCATCAGCTAATGATGGTACAGTTGCATTAGGTTCCTAAACAAAATTTAAATATTTTCTTATAAAATTTGAACAAACTTATATTTCATAAAACTAAATTTAGAAATACAGTCAAATCTCAAGTTAAGAATGCCCATTTACAAACAAAATTTTGAACACCATATTTGTTCTGGTTGCCATATGTTAACTTGGTTTCTGAACAAGCTACTTGGCAGAGCCAGTTACCGATGGTCAACTTTCAATACTTCCTATGTTAAAGTCGATGGCTCGACCAATCAACGACAGGACTACCAATTCAGTAGTGGCACCAAGATTTGTCTCATTTCATTAGACATCACAACATAAACCATAATGATATTGTTACTCAAATTAAATTTCAACGTGCATGCAGATAAGATACCACTTCTGATTTTTGATACACGTCACAATTCAATTTAAATTAAATTAATTAATAAAAACCACATTAATTGACACTCATGTAATGTATCCAATGGCATCCACTAATTCATGTTTAAATATGCTTAAATTAAATAATAAAATTTTTTTAACATAATATTATATATTGATATTATAATATTAATACTAGGTAGCTAGTTATTTAAAACTAAAAATAGTAAAATAATAATTAAAACTCTGGTCTTTATACCAAAACAAAAAACCAAAATCAATTTACGTAATTAAAATTGAAATCAAATTAATTGAAACATAATACGACATACTCTTTCAAGGCCCATCACAAATATTTTGTGTTTTACCCATTCATACAGCAATCAGAACTTGTTTCTCCCTCAGAAGGTTCTTAACATCTGACTATGACTCATGGAACATGATGGATTGAACGTTCTGGTATGTATAAAATCCCAGTCTTTTCCAACAATGTTATGCTATATTATATTGAGCAACTTCATGTGCACTCTCTAATGCAAAATTACAGAACACAGAAGAGATGTTTTAATAAACAGAAGTTCCATGAAATTGGCAGATCTGGTTAAATATCGCAATTTTCAACCATTGAGAAATGAGGGCTTCCTTGATATGCAGGACAAACAACACACATTATTCCTGCTCAGAACTTGCTCATCCTCCAAAAAACTCCTATGAACCAATCATCTCTAGGATGTACCAAGCCTGCACTTAATTCCTACTTAATCATTTTATTGCTTTTTAAAAAAATTTTAATTCTATAATTTCTAATTTTTTGTTTGTTTATGTATTGATATTTTATATATTATTTTATTTATTATATTTATTTATTTGGTATTGCATTTATATCATTTATTTTATTATATTCATTATATTTAAGTTTTTATATATTTTTGCTTTTATGAGGCACCGAGAATAGTAAAAAAAAATGTAAAACTTATTCAGTTAAACAGTCAACAAGAAAACAAGTTACAGTCGACCCCCCTATAAGATCATTGATTTTTCCGTTTTATCTGAATTACATGTTGTACGAGTCACTTAGATTTTACAAATATGTGAGCCATTCACAGTCCGGCACACGTATTTGTAAAATCTAAGTGACTCGTACAACATGTAATTCAGATAAAATGGAAAAATCAATGATCTTATAGGGGGGTCGACTGTATATAAGTGCTGAGTCGGCGACACCAGACTGACATTGTTGCTCATAAAGAATAGCAGGAAAAACAAATTTTTAGGTAGAGAAAATTAAAAAGGAAAATATTTAAAATTTAAGACGCAATAAAGTAAAACAAAACAAAAATGTAATAGAAAGGGCATAGGCATCATAAACATCGATAAAGACAATCATAGTTGAAAGGACAGTGTCAAATAAACCCAGGCAGACCTTTATCACAGCCTGAGTTGGTCTCAATTTTCACCTAGAGACAGGTGAAAGACCAATAGAGGAGCATAGAAGGGAAAGCACAACCAATTAGAAATAATTTGATCCCAAGGAAATTATAAAACCTCCACAGTCAAGGAAGAAGAACTTCTTCTCGAGTACACCTGTTGTGATTGTCACCCACTTCTCTTGGTGCTTCCGCTCGCTGCTATCTTGTGTTACTTTACTACTTCGAACTCTAACTCACCATCACCCTAGACTCCACCATCGCAAGACAAAAAGGAAACCACTACAGACACCCAACTGTCAGGACATCGACATCTGGGACCTTGTTAATCATTCGTAAGCATGATCTTCAAAAAAATAAATGGTTTCTTTGTGAAACACTTGTCTTTTCCTGTCTCCTAAAACTGCCACCCACATACAAGTAGGCCTTAGTCCATCCTGACGAGAGGGAATGAAACCCCCCTCAGATCGACAAACTTACAGTGGTGTCCGAAAAGTGGGATTTTAAGTCCCTAATCTCAACCAGGCCAGTGAACTTACACTTTAAATATTTAAAAGAGCATTTCTCAAATTTTAAAAGTTGTATTCCAAAATGAAAATTTCTAGAATGACTTTTAAAGTTTGTGTAGAACATTCTGTTTTAATAATTAAAACTGACAAAGCCTCAATGCAAGCAAAAATATTTTTACCACAAAAAACTTTCTTTTCTAAATTACTAGTAGCTTGGGATGCCCCCTAGTGGGCGTTCTTTACAAATTTCCATGAGGCACGGTTCCTTTGACTTTTTTGTTCCTATCAATATGCTCTACAGCTCTGTTAAAGTCTGAATGGTAAGATTTACCCTCCAAATGAAGAGGTGGCAACCCCCAAACCGTAGACCCCTGTACTAACAATAAAGTCAAAGGAACCATACCCCTACTCGCAACCCTTCGAGAGATATAAGCCCCTGAAATAATAAATTCCTATTACAAATATACTGAATTATTTATATTGTTATATTGACCAAATAATAATTTATTGGCCAAACGAATAATAAGAATTAAAATTGTTAATTTAAATGTTTGAAATATGACACACAATAGGGGCTCCTCTAGTGTCCGTTATCAAACGGTTACAGGACAGACACTCGTTGAATGGGTTATATATATATAGATATAAATATGAAGAGTGCTGACCTCTGAGAGGATATCAATAGTTGAAGTGTGTCTACAAGGTCTAACCAACAAAGAAGTGAATCAAGAGTAATTTTCTAATAAACTCTTGATTCACTTCTTTGTTGGTTAGAGCTTGTAGACACACTTCAACTATTGAAATTCCAGAAATCACCAAACAACAGCAGCAATCTAATGTTTGGTAAACAAATTTTGGCAGATGGAGTGTTTATGATGAGAAATATACAGGTTGACTTTTGCTATCATCAAAAAACTGCATAATCCATCAAGGATGCAATCAATTGTACCTGCATGCATCAACAAGAAGACTAAGCAGGGTGTTTAGTGTTTCGCATTTAGTTCTTTGCAGAATGCTACTTTTCAAGTTTAAAAAATGTAGTTATCACCTTCAGATGCTTCACAATCTTCACAAAAAAGACTATGCAGCCCATGAGAATGTATTGTAATCTTTTAAAAGCTGAAAACAGAGACAATCTAATGAGCAACATTTTGTTCAGTGATGAATCAACCTACCATACATGTGGATATATTAACAAACATAATTATAAGATTTAGGCCACTGAACATTCACATGAAATTTCGGAATGGGTAAGAGATTCACCAAAAGTTAATGTTTAGTTAGACATCACAAAACACAAAGTATATGGCCTCTTTTTTTTTTTGCTGAAAACACTATTAATGACAACATTTACCTAGATATGATACAAATGTTTTTGGTGCATCAACTTGTTTCCAATGGAATCATCAATTCTGTTGTCTTCCAACACAATGGCATTCCATCCATTTTGCAACAACTGTCTGTGACTACCTACATGAAACTTTTCCAGGAAGATGAATAAGAAGAGGTTCAACAAGATTTTGGGATCCACAGTCACCTGACTGTATATAGCTAGATTTTTTTGTGTAGCAAGATGAGATGTACATAATTAAGATTAACAACATTATTCAACTTAAGGAGCAGATAACAATAGTTGCAGTAACTAAGATTACATCTAATATTTTGGAAAAGATTTTCCATGCTATTAGTGAATGTTGGTATTTATGTGTTGATATGTAGAATTATATTAATACAGTATTTGTTAGTTTTCATGTGTTTTATTCATTTATAACACAAATAGATGTATTAAAATGCATTTTTACAGAAATGGATAATTATGTTAGAAACACCCTATACATATAAACAATATTAGTTTTTCAAATAATAATGGCAAGACAAAAAATATTGTAATTTAAATTAATAACAAAAAGTACCTTTAAAAATAAGCAAGTTTTGCTTAACATTAAATTAATCATGCCCAGATTCTATCACATTACTTGAGGAGATGAGATTTGAAGTTGACACCTTATAATATCTAATTTCTGAGAATTTGGATTTTTCTGGTAATGTACTCAAATATCTCATTTTGACTGTACCATTTTATTTTTCTGTATATCTGGTTCTATTCAAACATTCATGTCAATAAGTCAGTAAATAAGTCAATTCAGCTTAATAATTAAATCTATAATTTATTAATAAATACATTGTATGTTTTCTTTACTATTATTTCAATTCTGGAGCTTAAAATGTCACCCCATTATTACATTACTGGTTTATGCAAAGTCCACATTAATGCAAAGGAGGCATGTGGATGAGAAAGACTAGACATTTCAATATTGATGAGTTTGGTTAATAAAAATTTTGTTAATACAAAGTACCAATTCTTAAGTCCTTCTGACTTTGTATTCATAGGGTTTGTTAAAAAGAGCAGTACAATAAATTAGCATGCAATTTTGCACTTTTTTAACAAAAATTTTTAACACAAAACCATTATAAAAGAATTTTTTTTAATATATAAATAATTAAACATTATTGGAAATAAAAACATTAAGCTAACTATACCCAACTCCATTTTACATAATTTTTTTTACGCAACTTTGTTTCAATCTAACATGTTCCAATAAATTTGTCTTTTTAAAATTTCTACTTCATTTTAAATTTTAAGAAAAAATATTCATAGAATTTAAAAGCTGCTATACACACTTGAAAAGTAAATTTTAAGATTTGACTGTTTTTAGGATTTACTTCAATATGTGTAGCAACCATCAGTCTTTCATTCTAAATTTATGCTACAACTAGCTGTTACCCACGACTTTGCAAGCAAACACCATTTATATTCAGTATTTCAACAACCATAGTAATTGTTATATAACATCTACCACTGAGAATGATGAAAATTACTGAGAATCAAAAGAATTGTTTTCAATTTGATCAATTTTCTGGAACGTTTACAATCGTTCTATAATCGAACCAATATGCAATAACAAATTTGAATTTAAAATTGTTTGAACATTTGGTTAAAAAATCAAAATATATAAAAATATTTAGAACAATGTCTGAAATGTTATCAATTTACTACACCTAAGTTCTCAACAAAGACTAAACATGGTTGAAAACAAAAAAAATCACATCTAAAATAGTACAGTAGAAGCCATTCTTCATGTTAAGCCTTAATCCTCTCCCAGTGGGGGAATTTTGAGAAATCCCTTCTTAGTGTGCATTTTTGTGACGTACCCTAACTGTGTACCAAATTTCACCTCTTTAGGTTCAGTGGTCTGCTCTGGGTGATGATGAATGAATCACTCAGTCAATCAGCCAGTCAGGACAAGTAATTTTATATATTTAGATTAAAGAAGTCAAAAAAACATTTAATTTAAAGTTTGGCAATTTGTTTTTGAATGTGTTTCTAAGAATGAATAACAATCTTTTTAGATATCCAGCAGAAAACTTTTACTAAACAAACATTTCATGCTAGATTATAGCCTTTTTTTTTGGAACTAAACTTATACATTAAGAATCCAATCAAATATCTAAAAAGGTTGTGTTAAATATTCTTTAAATACATTCATCCAGGACCGGATTTAACCACTTTGGGACCCTAGACATTTTCTTCTTACTGGGTCCCCTCCCTCTCCCTACAAGAAATAGAGCACACAAAAAATATAAAACAAATTAATAAAAAATATTTAATATACAACAATAAATTTTGGTTTTTCTAGAAAAGTTTGAACAGTTTGTTTATAAATTTAAAAAAATTGAAATTTATTTTATTATATGTCTAACAAAAGTTGTTATACAATAACAATATTACATTAAAATATTAATTGTTTAATTTAACCTTTTTGGTTAATATTTAAATAATATAATATTTTACCCATAAAAGGTAAATTGAATAATGAAAAAGATAATTTAAATAAAAGCCAAGATAGTTTAAAAAAGTAAGTATATAAATATAAATACACTTTATTTAAAACTTCTGTTTTCTAGTCTTTAATTCAGCAAAATTATCAATTATTTCATCATAATTAATATTATATAAACCATTTTGTTCGATGTATAAAACAGGCAAAGAATTTAATTTTGATTCACTCAGTGAGTTTCGTAAATAATTTTTTACACGTTTTAATACTGAGAATGACCTTTCACCAAATGCATTTGATATAGGCAAAGTTAAATATATTCGCAATATTTCTATATTTGGAAATGTTGATACTAGTTTTGTGCTCTTTATAAATTGCAGCATATCAGATGGCAATGTTATTTTTTGTCTTTTGCAAATTAATTTAAATTGCAACAATCCCTCGTCCAATTCTTCAGTATCAATGTCACCACTGTACCATTTTTTTTTAGCAATATGGTATTAATCGATACGTCCTTGTAATCACCATCAGCTATGTTTGTGTGCAGAATTTTAAAAATTTCATCAATATCTTTCAAAATAAACAGTTTGACTGGGCCCTAGACATTTGTCTCATTTGTCTGTGATGATCCGGCCCTGCATTCAGCAGTAGTTTTTGTAAATTGCATTTCTTCTGATTTCTTTCAATACAGAATAATTTTTGTATGCTATTTGGTATTAAAAGCTACAGGTATTTTGATATTTAATTGAGTGTCAAATTAAAATTTGTGCATATAATATAAATTTATTAAATTTAGCTAAGTAAATAAGTTGCAATTATCCATTCTCTGATTTATTAATTAAAATTAAAATATTTTGTTTAAACATCCTATTATAATTAATTAATTTTATTATTTTTACTGGTTTTTAAGGTCTGGAACCAATCCATTTCTCCACATAGACAGTACCTTCTTTTTTACATAAATTTTTTTAAACATATTTACCATGTAAAAAAAAACAGGGCTGGGTGTAGTTATGTATTACAGTTTTCAATATTTTATTTGAGCACCAAAAAATTATTAAAAAAACTTAAATTTAAAAATAATAATATATTTTTTAAAATTAAAAATATTTATTACCTTTTCTGAATTTGAAAACTCATCAGAAGCTGTCTCCTGCCAATGTCTCAATTTATACACTGGTTTATTCTAAAAATAAAAGTGATAATAATAATTAAAAACAATTTATCATCTTTATTTATAAAATTTAGTAATTACTATATGCATAACAAATCACCAAATTATATAAATTTCTCTATTATATGCTAGCTTGTTCTTAGCAGTAATGAATACTTCATTATGAAACTGGAATCTTTTTATTATCATCAGTAATGATTTATCAATGTATCAGTCAGCTAGCAGTAATTATTAGTTATTTAAAGCTTGTCAACCAATACTTCCTTTAATGACACATGCAATAAATTTATATTTCAAAACATTACTAATAAATATATTAATAGATCAAAAGATACAAGTTGATTAAAAAGTATTTGCTTATATTTTATATAACAACAACATTCAATAAGAATAAATTCTATTAATAGATATATCCTATGTATAGAAAGAAATTTTCTTAGCATATTCAATTGTAAAATCTAATAACATAATTTATAGAAAAAGAACCAGAAAAAATATTCAAATCACTTCAAAGTACGAAATTATTCTAGAATCATCCAAATGATAATAAATTCAAGTATAAAATCTATATTTTGTATGTATAGTCTATTCTATTATTCTAAAACTAATGAACCAGGATAATTTGAAAATTTTTCTGATAATAAAGTATAAACAAATATATTTGAACCTGTTTCTTAAAAAAATTTAAATACTTCAATTTTAAATAAGTATAATCCTAATTGATAAATAGTAAAAATAATTATACTGACAATTATGATATTAATTTTTAATGAAAATATAAAATTTAACAAGGAAAGACTCAGAAATGTATTTCAAAGATTTGGATCAGCCTTTGCCATGGTTATTCTGGAATGCTAAATTTGACCTGCAGTTTGAATGATGCTTCTATGCTTGAACTGTGGCACACAGTGAAAAAAATACGCTTAACTAAACACTATCTATTGTGTACCAAAGTCATCTCTTGCTCTGACTGTGAAAGCATCTCCTGCATTATACTTGTGTTTTCAGTACTTTTTCACTTTATTTTAGTTTGTTTGGTTATATATATATAACCCCTACCTATTATCCATAACATCTAAGAAGAGTGTGAAAGCAATGAAGCTGAAGAGAAAGGTTGTTGTATTGACTATTGAAGTGAAAAAGGAACTCATGAAGCATGAAACTGACAAATCTGGTGACCCTGTGTAAAAATTCTAAACTAGACAGTGTGCACCATTATTAAGAACAAAAAAGCAATAAAAGCAGCAAATATGGCTAAAGGTGTGACAATATTCATCTCTGAGAGATTGTGTATTACTGAGATGGAAAAAACTCTTCCTAATGTGAATAAATGAGAAGCAATTGACTGATGTCTTCATCTCAAAGAGGGATTATTTGTGAGAAAGCCAAGTAAGGTGCATAGTGATCTTAAGAAACAGGTCATCACCACTCCTTACTAAGACATGGTAAATGCAGTTTTAATTTTATTATACAGTATTTACATATTTTATTTATTGTTTTCTTGCTTTAATTTATTATTTTGGGCAATTAATTATGTTATTTTTACCTGAAGTTACGTGTATTTTCTGTTTAAGTTTATCGAAATGGGTATTGTTTAGGATCTAGGAATGAATTCACCTTCCATTATTTCAAATGGCAGAAATTGATTTGGACTTCAAACAATTCAGAGTTCAAACAAACTCTTGGAACAAATTCAAAGTACAAAGCACCATTGTACATCTGAAAATTGATAGTTTGAGAAAATTAGTATTTTCTTATTTAAATTGAAATCTAAAATACCTTTAACATTTGACAGTCAGCAAGCAGTAAGAACTGCTGTAGGAGGTAGAGTGCTCATCCACAGATTCTATACTTGTGTTCATATGCTCACTGGAAGTTTGTTTTATTTTAATTTGATTATTTTTATTTCTCATATAAATTATGATGATTTTTGAGTTATTATTTTCAGTTGAATAAAGAGCTATTATTTTACAAATGAGGCATATAATCAGGAAGGTAATGAATTAATTATTAATACTTGTTAATTATTATAGGGTCTCTCTTAAAATTCCAACTTTTTCAACATATTTTCCAGTAAACTTTTACTATTTTAGAATTAAAGGTATCTTTTACTGACAAGTAACAGATCTTTATATTAGGTATAAAACAAATTTCACATACAATGTAACTGCTAAGAAGATACCTTTGATATAATAGACTCACAAAAACCTTTAAGTGACCAGTAAAATATTTAATTGTATGTGTTCCCTTCTGTGTGATAGTTTAATGATTTGCGCATTATGCAAGTCGGCACTTATGCCCAGGGTCGCAGCATAAGTTGATAGGGCAGTGGTGCATCTATTATGATCAATGTCATATTTGTGTTCGCATATACGCTTATCTAGGGACCGTATCATGGAGCCAATATATACAAGGCCCCTTTGAAATCTATGGGATAGAATATACCCCTGGAGCAAATCTTTTATCTATGTCGTCTTTGCAGTTGTCATAAATGTTCAAAGGGACCTTGTATATATATTGGCTCCACGATATGGTCTCTAGATAAGCGTATATGCGAACATAAATATGACATTGATCATAACAGATGCACCACTGCCCTATCAACTTATGCTGCAACCCTGGGCATAAGTGCCGACTTGCATAATGAGCAAATCATTAAACTATCACACAGAAGGAAACACATACAAACGCTAGAAACTCTGGAAATATATAAAGCGGGGTTATGCAATAACTGCATCAACTATAAGGATGCAATTAATATTTCTACAACTTGGAAGTTTGTTTATGAAGGGGAAGACCCTCACAACTCTATTTAAGGTGTTTTCCACCGTTTCATGTGGGTGTAAAATAATATTTTTAAAAATATATTTTTGTTTATGCAATGCTTGATACGCATGCGCATAATGAATTTTATACACAAGTTGGATATGTTCCAAAACGTTCTAAAACTTTTAAATCTTTAAGCACAACAGCTTTTCGAATCTCAGAACTTTTAACCTGAAGAAGGCCAAAAAATACGGTTGAAAACGTTTGTTGTTTTTTCAATTAAATATTTTATTGGTCACTTAAAGGTTTTTGTGAGTCTATTATATATATTGAACCAGTACCTGGTAATGAGTAACCTTTACACAAGATACCTTTGATATTTGAAATGTACTTAAAATTATAATAAAAAAAATCTACACCTAAGAGTTAATTTTTGCAAATAAACAACACATTTTTACAATATATATATGCATTTGAAATATGTTTTTTTTTCTATTTTAATTAAATTTAAACAAGCAAAAATGATTGTGGCATCATCACAATTCCAGGCTGCAATTTTTAATCATATTTTTAATTTATTTAATTTAAAATATACGATCTGAATCTCAAATTATTAGTGTCTTGTCCTGTACATCATACTTTCCTGTCAACAACAAAGTCATGCCAGTTATCTATATAACTGTTTGGTGAAAATTTTTGAACTGAAATCACATGACTATACCAGATGTTCATATATAGTTCCTGCCCCTAAACTTTCCACATCTGGTCTTGACTTTCATCTATCTAACACCATTTTCAAGATTAAGGAAGGATGGCTAGACAGTTGGATAACAGCAGAAATTTATAGGTCTACAATTTTTTCAAACTGCAACCCAATGCCAGATTAAACCAGACTACATTACTGCTACTATTAATAATTAAAGCAGTATCCACAGAATGTTACCTGTATTATTCATTTCTACAAAGCACCAAGCTTATCTTTACCAAAGTAAAACTCCTAAGAAAAATTTTGACTGTTGGCTAAATTGTCACAAGTTTTTACTTGGTGCATTTTTTACATCTCAGATGTTTTTATTTGGATAGTGTTCTTTCTGGAAATAAATTTAAGTGATCAACATATAACATTTGTTGATTTTGCTGAAAATTTATTTAATTTTGTAATACAGTCGGTCCCCTATAATTACGGTCCCTATAAAACTACGAAAAAATATACGTATTTTGGAAATGTTGAGTCGGATTAGTGTAGAATCGATTAATTTTATGGAAGAAAACCTTTCAATCAGCCGTAGTCCGTAAACTTGACACATGTCGAGCTGTGATTGGAACGACTTGTAAGAAATCGGATTCCTAATAAATTGGAACGTATCTATATCTTATTGGGGGGGGGTCGACTGTAATTTCTGATCCTTGTGAATAAAGCTTAATTTTCTATTTTTTTTTTTTGTTTTTGCTCATCATAAGGTAATGATAAGCTTGGTGCTTCAAAGCAGTATCCACAAGATTTTTACCTGTATTATTATTTTCTACATATTATTCTTTGCAATACAAAATCCAGTTATTTTGAAATTATGTAAAATAAGGCTGTCTAAATCCAATCTGTTTCTTGTTCTGGTATATTCCACAGCAATAACGACATCATGTATTTGCTATTATGAAATTAGTGAAATTATTTTGTTTAAATGTATTTTCGTCGAGAGACAAAACGAAAATCAAAATTTTTAAAGATAATTAAACTGTTTTCCCACGGACTTATTTCCTTGTTGAAGATGATACATTGAGTGTGTCATCCAGAATCTACAGCAAAAATTCAACTATTGGACGATTGTAGAAAAACTCTTAATAAGGCCATGGAAATAACCCGGGACAGACTCCCTAATAAAAGTGAGGGGTTAATGAGTCAGAGAGGGAGAGTCATCGAGTTATCATTGAACTGTGCGTGTGTAGGCCTCCGCTCGCCATTCGCTACCGCCATCACTGTTCCTAGTCGCTGCCACTCCGAGAGATTCATTGCCACTCTGAAGGACTCGTTGCCACTTCAAGATTCCCTATGTGTGAAAACTCCGAATATCATTCTATGAATTCTACAGGTATTTATCCTCGCACGAACTTAATGTGAACTCTCTTGTTGTCTCTCATTGTTAGGGTCATAGTGGTTATGCCTTATGTCATATTATTATTAGCATTAGCTAAGCCTCTATAATTATCCAGTTGTAAATAGTTAATATTGATTAATAAATGAATA